CCAGACCCAGACCCAGACCCAGTCCCAAACCCAAGCCCAAACGCAGACCCCCCTCTCTCCACTCTCCAGGCATCCACAACTCTGGCCAGAGGTGAGACCTGAACTTGCTCTCGCTCCACGGGCAGCCTCAGCCCAGCACGCTCGACATGGTCCGTGCAACGTTCGCTCGCTTATCATCATAACAATAATGTTAAAGTGGCAAAATGGCAAACGTTGCGTAAAATCCATAAAATTTATATGCACTCGCCCGAGAATCACATTTGTATCCCCACACGATTGTACTTCCGCTCGATATGCGATCAACTGTTAGGATAGTGCACACCACCAGGGCTCGGCAGCATAAACTAATTTCAATTCTATGCCTGTCAAATATATTGAGAATGATGCGGCTAAGAGGTAAGTGTTTATCGTTAAAATTTTGTTGATACTCATTGGATCGTTTTAGATATTGTTCAATATATGTAATTATATTATAAAAACAAAGTTGACCTGTATAAGATTGGATTTGTATGAAAAATTATGAGAGAGAAAGAGTGAGAAAAGGAGAGGGGGGGGGGGGGGGGGGGGGGGGGGGGGGGGGGAGGCAGCCTCATGAACCATGCAGCTTTTGTATTTATAAATTAATGTCGACTTATAATGCAGAGGGTCTATAAATAAATGAATGGATTTAAAAGACTCAACCATATAACATAACCTAGAAACTTAAATCCAAGACTTAAATTCTCTAAATTGCGGGCTTAACAGAAACGAAATTTGTTTTATTAGTGTAGGGAGGAAGAGCTAATATAATACTCTTCTTGTTGCTTAAAATGTAAATTGTAAATTCGTCCATTTCATTCTAATAAATTGTTTGTATTATATTTCGAAAATTATAAAATATTTTATTTTTAAACTGAAAGAAAAATATCGGAAATTATCTAAAATTACGTTCAATTTTATCAAGCGCTAAATAGTAATTTTTCAGAAAATCAATCAGTGAATACAAACTTTCTTATTACAGATATTAAGTAGTGGCATAAAATAACAACTCATGGATGTTAACCGACGCTATAGAAGATAACAATTCAAAAAACTACAATCCTTTAAATGCAATTTGAACCTACAAAATTTTGGCTTTTATATTGTTATCATTAAAATCCATAAGCAGAGGCAAGCAAGAGTCATAATTACAAATATCATTGAAGCAACGAAACCTTTCTCCATTGCAATAGTGAGTGGGTGCTGGGCTCCCATCAGATGGGGAGCCAGTCGGCAATTGCGCCAATCGAAAACTGGTAAAGACAAGTTCTATGTTCAATGGGTAGACATTTTGCAGCAGACTCTAGGTGCCGTCTGGCTCTCTCGCTCTGGCATGCAGCGCTAACTTGTGGGCCAGCAAGACTTTTTATTGTCACCAAGCGGTTTGCAGGTTGCAGACTACTTGGCTAATTAATGGAGACGTCGCTCAGTTCGCTGGCCTCTTAAGTTGGCAACGCCCCCAATACAGAGAGGCGCAAAATTGAGATATTAAAAGCATTGTCAGTTTTGTTGTGGCATCTATTTAATAATCCAGTTAGCATCAAGGCGAAAACCACACAGAGATGATCAACGCAAAACAAACTTGTAGAAACAAAATTATTCAAACTCGTTTGAAACACCTCAGGGGAGGAGCCGTCGCAGCTCAGGCAACGAACAGCATTGTGGCCATAACAGAAATCAAGTCACAACTAATTTAAATATTTATACACAACGCGAGATGCGACGACTGGCTTATATTTCGTTTTTGGCGATTAATTAAAGACTCATTAAGAATTTGTTTAGCTCAAGCGATTAATTAAAAGGCTGTTAGACCTGGCAAAGGGTACACAAAGCATTCGAACAAAGCCACGGCCCCAAACAT